TTCACCTTACTTTACTTCAATCCAGTGTATTGCTGCTATTCGCTTTGATAAAGGCACGTCGCCAAAATATCGCCATCTCTCCTTTCTCCTCATTATTTTAGGTGGAATGAGGCTAACATCACTGTTGTATCTTGATCTGTATCACTAAGCTACCCCGGCGGAACGTACGAACGTGTATCACTAAGCTGAACATGCTCAGATAAACATGGCTGGGCAATGTTAATACAAATGGTTGAACCATTTCCTTCTATAGGCTAGATTTGCGGAGTACTTAAAATCACCGTGCTCGGACAAAGATGCTGAACTCTATCGATTTATAAATAATCCGCCGGACAATTGTATGATTAAAGGTGCGGGCTATTTATTTCGTGCAGCCGTTTAACGCATGATTCATGCCGCTTATTGGCTATAAAATTCAGACAGAATTGATCTTGCTGTGACTTTTGACTTCTTTTCCAGTCCTAGAAAGTAGAAATAATAAATAATCAATGAAAAGCATGCCCTCATTAACAAATGGGCCACATCCGGCCATTTTGGAGGGAGGGCCTTTTACTGTCAGGGAATCTTTGTCAACCCTGTGCCGACCCCCCCCCCCCCCCCTTGCTAAGGTCTGGCTGCGCACCTGCCCGGCAAGCATTTCTATCAGCGGGCCATACACTGCGCGTGTGGATAGTAACATGATTAAGGCGGCGTTCCTACGATAAACAAGACCTGAGGCAGCGCTCCGACGCTGGCGCACAGCAGCCTCCATTCGGTGGCATGTTCCATCGCAAAAAGATGTGGCGCAAGCCAGCCGCGCCGAGTCGTGGGCTTAACAAACTCCAGACGGCCGGCGAGTGACTGAGGAGACAGCACGCGACAGCTGGCACCATCTTCTCCGACTCAAGGTCTTCCTCCGCTGCGGCATCTTCCGTATCGTCGGTTGGCGGAACTCAGCCTGAATGACCATTTAAAGCTCCATTTGTGTGTTGCGCAACGTAAGGCTTTCAAGAGGGCAATGTGTTAGCATTTAACTTAAGGTTGCTGGATTTGTGATCGCATGCCGTTCTAGTTGTTACACCCAATCCCTTTTTATCAAAACTGACCTTTTCCGTTCTAGGGCACTTGGACGCTGATTCAGCGCTACGGTTGTTTCGTATTGTGACTGGTTCGAGGGAGTGTTTCAAGGAAGCAATCTGCTGGTTCTCAGGGACATGACCGGGCGACCCAGGTGTACAAGCCCAGTCGCCTGTATTTTGACATTGATGCAGTCATTACTGCGATGCCACATTTCGTGAGTGCCAATGACAGCGTATAACGGTACTGCCATGAGAACGAGTGCGCTAAAACCTCCACGATTTGGATGTGTTTGAAAAGGCACTTCCATGTCCAGCAGTGTGCGGTGAGCTCTCTCTTCCACTCGAGGCTGCAAAGCTCCTGGCTAGCTGAGGCGTCGAACCAAGTCGCATGTCAGAAAACTCGCGCGACTAGCTGTCGCGCACTAGACCTATGACGATATATTAAATGATTAAGCGTTTTCGTGTAATTCTTTGGTTTTTCTCGCTATACGTAGTTGATGTCGAAAGGTGACATGTGTCGCCGATCTATGTGTTCGCGTCAATGCGATATGCACGTTTGCAAATTGCACGTTAATACGATCGCAATACCACGTGTTGAACATCAATCCCTTTGTTGATAAAAAACATCAATGCATAAATATTTTCTCTGGCCGATAAGGGTGTGGCACTCTTCACGATGTGGTGGCCAAGTCTCGAGTTACAAAATAACCAAGGTGATACGCTCGCGACGAATGATCTGTCGGTTCTTTCTCCAATGAAAACAAATATTACTGGCGAACCCCAACGCACCATGGCCTCGCCAGCGACGCAAACAGCCTATCAGGTCATCGGAGGGTCGAAACGAAGGACATCGACTTCTTCTGTGTATAAACGCTTTCACCGGACGCACCCCATCATTAAATGTCGTCCATTTTGTAGAGCTGAACCCAGAACTCCGTCAGGTGTCATCGGTCCTGGCGTTTGAGGGCCTGACGCAGAGCAGCTGGAATAATTGTGAGGGTAACGCCCATCGGCTCTGGTTGAGCCCTTATGACGTCACTGTGTTTACTGAAGCCCGCGGAGCCAGACGCCCTGGTCTGCTAGTCCCGTTAATGGGACCCACTTGGCGGGCTGAGTCGAGATATTTTACTGTGTCGGACCATGGTCACAGCCGGAAATCGGACGTTTAGACTACAGCTCATGGATGTGTGCATCTGCGGGCATCGTTGGAGCAAAAACGACTGTGAACGCATGCTTGGCATTCATTTATTTGTTCACGACGACCGACACATGAAGAAATTTAACAAACGCGCACTATGATGCACAGTGTATTTCAACATGCAGGTGATTAAACCAGGCAAATTAACGCTTTTATCTGCATTGCACAAACACATTTGCATCTCCATTGTTGGTGACTTAATGACAGCCGTGAGCGTGAGTCGTGAACGACTTCGTGTTCTATTATTTTAACATGTTATCACGACGAAGCTGGCAGCTTTCCAATCTTGTGTCCATGCCAACACCTCCCAAACAGCAAGACTTCTCCACCGATCGCCAGCAACAATTCCACCACATGGGATCCATGACGGCAGAGCCACGAAGCAAACATCCCCTAATTTATTGGTGAGATAATCCCACCGTCCATCGCACACCAGCGGAGAGTGTACACCGTGCTACTACATCCACATCAACACAGCAGCCTCAATCTGGCGGCGCACAGCGCGTTCGCGTTCGCGAAAGCCGGCCCTGGTCGAGTTCACTGCACGGCGCAGGAAGCCTCGGCGTCGTCGGCGGCCGCGTCCGGGCGGAGGCCGGCCTCGCGCCGCGCCGCCGCCGCCGCCGCGAGCCCGGCCGGCCAGAGGAGCGGCGCGCCGGGCAGGCGCACTGCCTGCGCCAGCGCCTGCCGGCACGCCTGTGGCCCCAGCGGGCCGATGTTGAGCAGACCGGCCGGCAGCGCGGGCCGCGCCGACTCGCCGGCGAAGGGCGGCGGCGGCGGCGGCGGCGGCGGCGGCAGGCGGACGCCAACGCCCGCCTGCGGCGCCGGGAAGGCCTGGTTATGTTCCGTTGGCACGGCCGGGTACCCGGCGCAGAACGCCGCCGCCTTGGCCGCGTCCAGCGTCGGCAGCGCCGGATACGCTGCGGTGGCGGACGCCGGCGAGGGTCCGGGGTCCCCCAGCGGCAGGCAGGGCGTCGGACCGCCCCACGCTCGTGCCGGCGGTTTGTCGTCGACCGACGGCCAGGCGGGGCCGCCGCCGGCGTTCGACGACCCGGAGCTAGCGGACGTTCGCCATGCTGTGCCCGACGGCATGCACGTGTTCACCACCAGCTCGCGGGCCTTCTTCTTGCCCCGGCGCTTGCGCGACTTCCCGCCGGTGCCGGAGCGGCTCGAGCCGCCGCCGCGCTGGCCGGCGCTCACGGCCGGCGGCGGGGCGGCGGCCGCGGCGGCTGCAGCGGCGGCTGCTGCCGCTGCGGCGGCGGCCGTGACGGCGGCTCGCTGGCTGCTGGCCGCCGCCAGCGCCTCGCGGCTGGCCTGCTGCGAGATGAGCGCGTACTGCTCCAGCGCCTGCCGCTCCAGGTCCGAGAAGCGCCGGCTCAGGCTGTCAGACGATTCATACTGTTCGATGGCGAGGAACTCGAGCTCGTCGTAACGGCGCGTGACGCTGTCGCGTGACGAGCTCGAACTGACCGACTGGTGGCGGCCAGGTGCCGAGGGCAGGCTGCCGAGGCTTTTGGTGCGCCGCAACGGGGCCGCGACCGGCGCCGGCTCGCGCGGCGTCGAGGCGGCCGCCGTCGGCGTCGGCGTGTCCGAGCGCGGGCTGAGCTCGGTGGACGGCGGCCCGCTCGAGCCACCCACCTGGCCAATGCGCCACAGCTCCACGAGGTCCGTGGTGTTGCCGTCCGACACGCCCAGCAGGTGCAGAAAGTCCTCGAACGTGCTGCGGCCGCAGCAAGGCGGCGCCGCCGCCTGTGGACTGCCCGTAGGCGTCCGGTCGCGGTCGCGGTCGGCGGCCGGCGCGGTGGCGAGTGCCATGGTCCGGTCCGCGGCGCGCAGGCTCGTGTCGGAGCTGGAGTGGCGGATGGCGGGTCGCGACGGCGCCGCCCTCCCGGCATTCCTCTGACAGAACGCCCTGTGTGCCTTGCCGTGCGCCTGCTGGTCACGTGGGTGCGCCATCTGGGAGGCGACGTTCGTCTGCAGGGGGCACTGGGCTGAGCAGCTCGGGAAGGTCAGGAAGCTACCGCCCTTCTGCTGGTAATGACCCGGACCGCCGCTCTTACTCGGTGGGTAGTGAGACAGCGAGCCGCTCTGCAAAGGCGGGTACTGCGAAGGCCCACTGCCCTTCTGCTGCGGAAACTGCGCCGTCGCGCCGCCCTTCTGCTGGTGAAACTGTGGGACGCCGCTCTGCTGCTGCGTCAGGTACTGGGACGGTCCGCAGCCCGGCTGTGGACTGAACTGCCAGCCAGCCGGACACCAGCTGCTCTGCCGCTCGGTGACGGCCGGCCACGGGCCACCCCGGGGCGGCTGGTGGGCCGCGCCGCCCCTGCCGCCGCCGTCGGCAGCGCGAACCGCCCCGCCGGGCGCCGCTGTCGCCGACACCACCAGCGGGCCCTGCGACATAACCACCAGCTGCGAGCCGAGGCTGGCCGGCGCCTGCGAGGCGGCCGGCAGCGCGGACAGCGGTGCCGGGCTCGCGTACGTGGCCGCCGCTGTGTAGCTGGACGGCAGAAAGCCGTCGACGCCGGCCGGGCCAGACGCGACCGCGCTGTCCGCCGCGTCCGGCGCGGTGAACGCGCCGCCGCCAGCGCCCGCTTGCCCGCAGAGGCCGTCCAGCGGCCGGGAGGCGCCCGTCCAGGCGCCGTGGCTGCGGCCCGGGCGGGCGGCGCCCTCCGCCGTCCAGGTGGCGCCCTCCCGGCTGGCCGCCACGGCCGCGTACGTCACGTCGGGCGCGGCGTCGGCGGCTCGCGCTCCGTCCGGCGGCTGCCACAGCTGACGAACCTCAGCCGCCTGCACAGCTCGCAGTAGCTGGCGCTCGGCGCCGGTCGGCCGCTTCAGCGCCATTCCCGAGATGACCTGCAGCTCCTTGCTCGTCACCGGCTGTGATAGCGCACCTGGACGTGCCGTGTTCAACGATAAATGGCGGTCTGGACTCCTGACCGGCATAGCATTTGGCCATCCCTTGCCTTCTCCCCCTCCCCTCCCTCCCTCACACGAAAACCCCTGCATAGACCCCTGTCATTTTCCAAACGCGACGTTGAGCCATCGCCGAATGTGCAGCTGTTACCACCGCGCTTAGCAAAAAGACTTGAGGCATCCACTCGTCATTGGCATTTTATTCGGTCAGAGCGGATGGTCAAAGGAAACGAACTATCTGTTATCTAAGGAATGCAATGATTTCCAGTCTGATCTGGTTCGTTTAGACCAGCCAGTGACTTCTCAGATTCCTTTAGCTCAATAAACCAAGCGCGTTAGCTTAAACAGTAAGGCCTATTCGCAACTTTGATGTTCATGGCAATGGCATGCATGAAGCCTCTCTCTCTCCCTCTCTCTATCTCTCTCCCTCTCTTTTTTCTCTCTCTCACTCTCTTTCGCTCTCGCTCTCTGTCTTTTCTTTATTGTTATTACTTTATGTTCGTAATCGTTGGCGCCGCACGAGCTCGTGTTGCTCACTGTTTGACAAAGGTGCGTAAAGTGTTTCTTATTTTCAGCATTACGATGAAAGCATTGATAGGGCAACCACAACATCATGTAAGGTTTCCTTATTGCGAATTTTGGGTCTCGGACGGCCTTCTGCAACTGATTAACAGCCTCCCCTCAGCTCTAACTAGTGTCCACAAACGGAGGGTGCCCGTAAACGGTCTATGACACCATTTTGAAATCAGCTCCTTCGAAAAATAACGGACCTTTTTAATGTAAATGTGGCATTTACTTGAACTGAAAGCCGACCGAGAACATCGGGCTTTGCACAGCTTGCCAATCAGTTTTCAGTCCAGGCCGACTTCAGGTAAGTGAAAGATTTATCTGATTAAACCTCAGGTTTGTCAGACGATATCCCTGGGGCTGTTTAGACTAACCAACAAACCCATTGGTATATGTATGTCTTAAAGGCTGAAAGCCTACCAAAGAAAGCTATCAAAGAAAGCTGTGAGGGCGCTCATACAGCTTGCACGAACCGGCGATTTCGGCGCCGAGGTTTTTCTGTTTCCGGACGAACTGGTCATCGCTGTCAGCCGGCTGATGTTGTCCAAGCATCCAGCTGGCCCACGCAGCTGGATCGTTTCTGCAGGGCTCGGTCCTGCACAGGCCGGACCTTGTTTGCAGCCATTCGGCTGGGGTCCTGGCCACATCACTGGGGTTGCAAAACGATGCTCATATCACACCAGGCACGATCAATGTGGCTTCCAAATGGATTGTCAAGTTCCTTAAACTGGCGTAGCAGAAATCGAGAACCAATATTTCGATAGTGTATAACATATGAACTATCATTGTGACCAGTATATATATATATATATATATATATATATATATATATATATCCTTATATATGATGCGTAAAGTGTGAGACGGATACTGCGTGGTATTGCTCAAAGCCCATAATGACGTGACAGATCACGCCTAGAAACACCAGGTCAAAGTGCAAAGCACTCCCATTCAGTGTGTTTCCCGATCTCACTCCATGCGGAACTCCAAACACAGGCCAATCCCCCTAGACTCAAAGCAGGGTGGAACAGGTTCAGTGTGGTGCACCACATAAGTAATTTGTCAAGACTATATATACACACGTCTTTCTCCTGAGCAGAATGGCCTCCAGGACTCAGACGGCGTTTGTTTGGATAGACCACGGACCCATGTACTTTCGGTCCGGTCATGGTGTAGGAATATGTGGTCGTGAGCTTTGTGGATAGGGTGGTTTGCCGCCCTATGTTTACAACACACACTCACTCATCGGCACATGCCAGGGACTGAACATCGGCACTCATCGGCACACGGCAGGGGCTGAACATCGGCACTCGTCGGCATACGCCAGGGACTGGACATCGGCACTCATCGGCATACGCCAGGGACTAGACATCGGCACTCATCGGCACACGGCAGGAGCTGAACATCGGCATTCATCGACACACGGCAGGGGCTGAACATCGGCATTCATCGACGCACGCAGGGGATGAACATCGGCATTCATCGACGCACGCAGGGGATGAACATCGGCATTCATCGACGCACGCAGGGGATGAACATCGGCATTCATCGACACACGGCAGGGGCTGAACATCGGCATTCATCGACGCACGCAGGGGATGAACATCGGCATCATGGACATACGCAGGGACTGGCGTATGGACATACGCCAGGGGCACACACACACACACGCGCGCGCACACATATACATACACCCATTCACATTCTTTGGGTTGTGGGGACATGTGTGTTGAAGCTTGTTTGCGGGTACACCATCAAAAAAGACTCATAATGAGCGCAGTTAAGTCCTGAAGCGTCATGGTGCGACTGAGGAAGCCTTGACTTAGGGCCAGTCATGAAAAAATGTCGGATGCATGACAATATCTAATCAAGCAACATATATTTACGAATGGTGTAAAAACTTCGTTTATGGGTGCATGGCTCATGCCCATGTTTGGCATGTCCCCGCATACCATGATAGTTGCATTGCATTTGTACGTTTGGCATCAATGGTTGCATTTGCCAGTGAAAATAATAGTTCATACGGATTTGTTGGGTGGCAGAGCAATACAAAAGAAAATCTAAGTACCGATGATAACGGCTCTATCTCCCCTCGGCAAACCTTTACTTACCCGTGATTTATATGTTAACAAGAATGTCACATATAAACAATGATCAAAATGCGTACCATGTACAGTTTTTTAACTGATTAAAATAAAGCATGTGATGTTGTCTGAATGCTTTGAGCATCGAATTTGTTCGCCGCGTATCGTTTTAATGTTTTGCTTCTCGGAAATGTTGTGTTTCTTTACATTCATGCTTCATGAAATGCTTTCGAGATTTCCTTGAGGACCTCTGTCCGTCCATTAGCAATTCCCGCATACGGCCCTGGTGATAACCGTTTCAGTCACGGAAAAGGCAGGTACTTATGTTCTGTGGTTTAGCCTCTTGGTAATTCACTGACCCCCCCCCCCCCCCCGCTCCTTCAAAATCAGCCGCTGTAGCTTTGTCTGGATCGCGACAAAACTACATCCATATGGGAAGGGTTGTTCGCTTTAGAAAGTTGCCTTTTCTTAGGCAGCTGTTGGCTGACCTGTACGCCTTGTTCTTAACGGAAGTAAGGATGTTTAACGGAGTTGAGTGATTTGCAGCCCGCTCAAGCTGCTGTTACTGGAACGTCAACGTCAAGGAGAACGGGTGCCCATTAAGGTTTTGTTGTTTGCCCGGTGATGCTTTACTTGGACGTCTAATAGCCGCAGCACGCGGAATGCACTTGCCATAAAATGAGTGCCCATTTTCAGATCATAACTTTTCACGCATATCGAGCACGCATTAATGTCTTAGCAAACCAGTTCCAATAAGCCACAGTGTGTCTTTATCGTTCTGTTGTAACGAGTTGGACGTGGCCCTCATAAACACCGCGTCTTTCAAGGCGGCACGACTAACTGATTAACTAAACCAATACACCTTAGGAACACTGGCGGTTTGTCGCGTCACGCGAAGTAGGCGAACAAAACGGCAGAAAAGCCGACAAAACGACAGTGGCGAAGCTGACGCATTGGCATCACTCATCGGCACATGCCAGGGACTGAACATCGGCATTCATCGACATACGCAGGGGCTGAACATCGGCATTTATCGACACACGGCAGGGGCTGAACATCGGCATTCATCGACATACGCAGGGGATGAACATCGGCATCATGGACATACGCCAGGGGCACGCATGCACATACACACGTGCGGGTGCGCGCAAGCACGCAAACACGCAAGCACGCACGCACGCACGCACGCATGAACGCACACAAACATACACGCGCACACGCACACACGTGTATATACATATTACATATATATATATATATATATATATATATATATATATATATATGCCGCAGTCGTACAGAGCTGGATGTGCATTTTATGATCATTGTGAATAAGATTACGCTCTCATTAGAAGATCCGAAAGTCACAACCGTCAAGATGGTACTTACGCAAACGAATCCTGTTTTGGGAAATCAAGCCATTGTGGGCAATCGAAAAGATGATACTTCTTTGGACTGGGTTGAAGGTGTGCATCAGTCAACATCAATTCTGGTGAGGGAGATTTTTGACTGTTGCTGAAAACACATTTACATGCGTGGCACTATCATACACATTTATATACAGTTACATTATCTCCGTTCAAATTCACTTTGTCAAAATACTGGCTAACTACAGATAAAACTTAATGCAGAGAGCACATCACTGAGTGCGGGTCATAATGATATCGGGCATATTGAAGCGTGGTGTTCTCGTTCAGCGAAACCGATGACAGGTGATTTTCGTCCAACCTCCTTACGCCCCATAATGCAAAATATGCCCAGCATAGAATCGGTAGGCCCAAATGGCATTGCGCATCAATATTCACAACATTTTTTAAATCATATCAGAAAAATCAAAATAATATGCATTACTAAATTTAAGGAAAGGCCTACGACTTGAGTGCAAAATGCACTATATACATCACATTAATTTAGACAAAAGGTACTGCCAATGTCCTTGTAGCCGGGGACATTCGGTGTAATCGACAATGCCTTGCTTTCCACACATGAGGAAAGACTTACCAGGGCGAAATATCGGAACTGGGCGAGACCAGGTGAGGAGAAACGCCACTTGATTGCCAAGCACTTGAGCCAGGATTCTTGTCTTCAGACGGGCATTTCATGTCCGCCGAATCCAATGAAGTATTGGTTATATCCTTATGCTCCTCGCTCCATTCACTGATCGTGGTTCCGTGCGTGCAAGCATCATTACTTCGAAGTGTATTGTCCTTCGAATTGTTGCAAACCGTTTCCTGTTGATCACTTGAAGACTCGCTACTGACCGACGGATGGCTGTGTTCCTTCAGAGCTTCAATCCTTTGGTAAGTTATAATTAAGTGCTGTGTCTTTTCCATCCATTTTCTGTTGTCATCCACCACCCATACAGGATTGCAAAAAACCGCGAGATTTTCTAGTATGCCCGTAATGAATGCCATTTGAATGCTGCGTAAGTAGGGCACATATTCAATAGAATTATCCGTCAAGTGCTTTTAGCATTGGTTGCATAAAAGCAGGAGGAATGACACGAGAACTGGGGACAATTGAGCCGATTTGCACCCAACTTATATGAGATCTCGTCAACGGAAATTTCACGTTTCATTTAAATGTTTGCGTGATGTTTTGCCTTTTGGGTGACCTCGTACTGTGCAGAAAATGTCCACATTCAACGATTTTATCCGCACAAGCTGTTAATATAACCCATGCCATAGTTACCCGCAAATTGAGCACCAATTATCACGATAATAGTCGACGACCACATGTTCTGCCTTGTTCTACATACACAAATGAATGAACTCGGCTTCCCTTCACAACTTTTCAACGTTAAATTTGCAGAAAGTTGCGCGGTGTGCTCCTGACTCATTTGACGTATTGTTGAATAATGCTTTTGTAATATTCTGCAAAGTTTTACTTTGACTTTAGACTCTACGACAGGCCGGTGTGCGACAGCGGCAGTCCATAATGATAGCGTTTTGTGTTAGATAGTGTTTGGGTCTTAAGCGTTGCAATGGAAGGTAGAACGCAAAAGTGGCAATGCTTGACATGCTCATGTTAAGTTCGCTCGGAAAAGTCGCCGTATGAAATTAGAATTCGCATTTATTTCACACAAACTCTGAATCAGAACAGGCTGTAATAGTTAAATGTTTCTTTATCTTTCTGGTATTTCTTCCCAATCAGTTTCTGAATATGTGGAGCAGAGTGGGCGGATAGAGACGAAAAATGTCACAGAAGCGGGTAACTTGGTGATTCTCTCTTGCGGAGTGTCTGCAACATGGCGTTTCTAACGTCCGACACCAAATCAATCAGTTACACCAGAGGACCATGTTCGTTTGACCACCCTTCACATTGCCCGCGATGGATCACATGTTTTTACGTTTGTGTTTTGTATTGATATCGGTTATTTTTTGGGGGGGAGGTAATTAAGTATGAACATCGAATCATCACACACATGTCCAGAATGGCATGGCCGTCATGCAAGACCAACACCTGTGCATCACCGTGCATACGCTGCACTTCTACATACATACACTGTACTTTTTTCTCCCCAGCAGCTCACACAAAATTCTCTTTGCCGGACAACTTTTATCATCCACACACACATAACCCATGTTTGAAGGTGCATTTTCACTTGTTGGTGTGTGGAGGTGACAGAGCATAACATTTCGTAAGCCGCCCTGAACAAGATCGCTATTAAATACCGGAATCCTGTTACACTGAAAGTGGCCATATTAGTTATATGCATATGGTGGTTATCAATAAATCTCACGTGTAGACACTGTTGCAGTTTGTCGCTTCGGGTACTCTAATTCGCAATGCTATTATCCATGCGTAGTGTAAAATCCAGAAGATGACTAAAAGTTAAATGTCTCCAATCGACGTCCAGGCCATCTCTGGTTCGCTTCCAAAATTACGCATGGGCCAATGACGCGTCCACGGGGGCAAGGGATGTGGAGCTCTTGCCCTTAACCTGGAACAGGTCCCTTCTGGGCAGGGTATGGGGTCCCCTTGCATAGCGCTGAGGAGCCTTTACTTTTTACTGGCTCTTTTATTAGCGCCTCTTACTTTTCTCGTGGCCGCTTTCGGCGTCATGCTGTTGCCCATGTCCCTGAAGTTCTTACATTTTAATGGCTTACATAGAAGTGGTCTGTTTTGTTGCAGAGAGCGCAGAGAACAGGATTGACCTCATGTGTTGCCGAGAACGCAAAATTTCTTACATCCAGACTCGAACTTGCAACGTTGCAGGCTGCCATCAGTGCAAGCAAGCAACAGCAATGTAAAGCCAGTATGCTCCCCCATGAGGTTGGCGGGCCCCAACCGGAGGCCTAACCCCACCGCTCAGCAAAACCCTGGATGGGCCACTGGTTGCAGACACTGAACCCACCGAACAGGAATAAAACACAAGTTTTCCGTCCTGTTTGAATAATGAGTCACTCATGTGCAGCCATTTAATCGATTTGAAAAGGGCCGGCTGATATTGAATTGGATTTTGGACTATTTGTGATCTGGATAAAAATGTATTATTTTATCTTTCTTCCCTTCTGCCTTGTTCCTGCCTTGACCTGGTGCACGTGTAAAAGCAAGCTGCCTTCGTCTATTGTGAGTTGGGAGTTTTATTCTGGCAAAAATCTACCTCAAATATGTGAAGAGTATTGGCTAAGTGGCATTACAATGGCTCCAATTGTCGTTGTCACAATGCTTCAGAAGCTGCCGTAGATTTCGAGACCTTCAATCCATCTTCGCATTCCGGATTACAATACTGAAGTACATATCACAGTCAGTTCGAGTGCACGCCACGTTGGCTATACTGTACACCGAGAGCTCAAAACTACGATAATAGAAGGGGTGCCGGTAGTGTAGCGGTTAACGCGTTTGCGTTAACCACTGCGTGTCTGGGAAACCAGATGTACGAGGGTTCGATTCCCCGCGGTACCACCGCCCTTCCTGCCAGGGTGAGGGGCAGGCGAGGTGATGTAGCCTCAGCAGCTGAGTGCGTACGTAAAGCCCCAATGACACACCTCACACACAACACACACCACACACCCACACACACACACACACACACACACACACACACACACACACACCACACACACACCACACACACACACACCACACACACACACACACACACACACACCACACACACACACACCACACACACACACCACACACACACACACACACACACAACACACACACACACACACACACACACACACACACAACACGCACACACACACACACACACCACACACACACACACAACACACACACACACACACACACACACACACACACGATGATAGAATACGAGGAGCACAAGCCGCGCAGTGCAGTGCAATGTTCGTGTTGAGAGCGGATCATTGCCAGAATGAGCACTGTAAAATAAAATTGTGGAAAAACCAAGGGCTCAAAGCTTTTTTTGCTTACATCAAATGTTTCGTCTATTCATTGCAAGTCGTGTGGCCTCTGCGCTCTGCCATAAAATTTGTTTATGTGCATTCAAGCCCTGAATGGTGGCCTAGGCTAAGCGCTCTTCCATCCTTCCTAGCAGGTTGTTCTCATCGCTTTCTCCCGAGTAAATCCGGGTGCAATCGTCAAGGTTCGTTTCGTTCAAACGTCCGCTTCGTTTGCGTTGGGGAATCGGGCATATTGCCCCCGGGCCGAACGAAACATTGCTTTACGAGCCCAGTGTATAACGCACAAGTCTGTTCGGTCTGCTGTTGCCTACGGTTCACATATAACTCCTAACTAATCCCAAGTCATGCAATCCCACCAAAATGTGGCGCAGTGCGTTGTATTCGAGCCAGTAAACCACTGAGAGCATCCTTGGTTGTGTGCTTGGCTGGTGCACACAGCGCGCTTCAAGCGTGCCGTCTTGATATGAGGGCGCTGGGCGTCTCAGCGAGCTTCATCTCTCATACCGCGCTATCGACTATCTGCTTGTCAACGATAGATGGACAAAGCCAAATCATTGGGCTGGTGCTTATTTTGCGCCCCCCACAGACCGGTTTGATTCGGTAAGACTTCGGAGCGCGCGCTCCTCATCTCGTTGAGTAGGACTAGGTATGTTTGAGGAAATGATGATTGAGATTTATGATGCTATGCAATCGTTGACACCAGCACTTATATTTGCCGCTGGTTATGTCGATAATGGGGTTGCATGTCGATAATGATTGCTGTCGATAAGCAGCCATAATCGATATATTGCATGTCGATAAGGTTTGCACATCCGCTCGAAAAAAGCGTAACCATCAGTGTGGATACTAGACCAATCGCCACTGACTATCGACTCGTGATGCACTGCATCATTTTCAATAGACATTAAAGCTCAGACAGAAAATGGGCGCGTAACCGAGTGGCGCTGTGGCCCGAACTGCCTTCAGGCAGGTGGCGATATTGTGGCCTCACAGTAAGGCCATAGGTAATCATTAGCATTTTTCGTTATTCATGTCATCTGAGGGACTTGCCAATTGGCAATTCATTTGTTAGAGCCCAGCCAGGCTTGGTGCAAAATATGACTTCCTTCAGGCATCCCCTACATGTTCTCGTAAGAGGACGCTAGACGTGGCGTATTTCATACTGCCCAGTGTAACGTCCAAATGTCTGTTGTATATTATCAGTTTTGCATCTGGCCATATGCTTTACTGCCCGGCAGGGGCCGTGCCACTGATGTTGAGTGAGAGGGCAAGATTCGTCAGGGGGCCTCCGGAACCAAATGAAGCTCCTCATAGTAAGGCCATAGACCGTCCGCTGGGTGTGTGGGGGGGGGGGGGGGCACTAACCCGTCCGCTTTAGTAAAGGGATGATAATTTCTAACATCTCCTCTTTTGGCTTAATACGCCATTGATGAACACAGTTGTGATTCGATGGTTAATCCCAAAACGTCACTGATTGACGCAAGAAAGTTCCACCAAAGCCACTGAAAGACCGTCTGGCGATATGGCAGCGCGTTACAAAATGTTTGATAATTCCTAGGAATTAATCACATGCCATGCTACTGGTGAGAGCAGCTTGCACACAAGCCAGACTAGCGCATGCGCGGTCGTTGCGTTTCATGTAAGTCGTAAAATCGTAGCAGAGATTGTATCCGCTTCGACGTCAGGTGCAGGTTCACATGGATGA